GAAACCGGCTTTATCGCCCAACCTCAAACTGAGAGCAGCAACCTCAAGTTTTTAAAGGCTGGAGCTGGATTCCATGAAGGAAAGCTCTGGATGGTCACCAGCTACTTCAAGGAATGAACCTAGGAGTGTTTGTCCTAAAACAGACACACTGCTCTTAAGTATGCATGCATGCATGCATGCAAGGAAACAAAATAGGGGTCTATTAAAGGTGGACTTGATTTAAATCTTTACTCAAAAAGATTCAATTTAATCAAGTGGTTTCCCACCATAAAACTTCATTCTTGCTTGCAGTAACTTTAACGTATATTCTTCACAACATGCAGAACATTTTCCCAGTGTCTCCCTGCCTGGACAGACTTTGCCTCCCACAGTCTGCTGACACTTCTAGTGTCTGAGAGTATGCACTTCCAGAAACAGGAGATAAGGGCTTGGCTTTGCCTACACCACATTGCAAAAGGACAACAGCTGGTAAACCCACAAGAGTGCACCCTGACATAAACCTGCAAATACCACAATGCTTTTATTTTTACTTTTGCAATACATGTTGAAACTTTTTTGACACCCCATGCCTTTCAGTACATCTGTGTTGTTTCCTTGGAAGCTTTAAAGCAGGGGTGGAGAGCCTCTGGCTGGGTTCCAACACCAACCAGCCTCGGCCAAAACAGCCCACGGCTAGGGTGGGCTGGAACTGTAGAACAAGAACACCTGGAAGACCACAAGTTCTCACGTTCCTACTTTAAAGCATCGCAATGTCCACAAATAAGTGTGCTTGTTTTCTTCTTTCTCTCCAACAGTTTCTTAACATGACATCTCAATCCTGTGGCTGTCTTTTTTTTGGGGGGGGGGGTCTTGACTCAACATTTCACCACAATGTATCAGAGAAGCACTCAATTAGTGTCTGGAAATGCAGTACAGTTGCTTAGATTTCAAAACAATGTCAAAGCCATCACAACACAGTACAGCAATTCAAGTTAAGTCACTCTTTCGGTAGTCAACAGTTTTAAACGAGACCATTGACAGGTCTTCATAAAGCACATTGAAATGCTTTAATTTAGGTGGAATACAGATTTCTACTAATTATTCCTTATAGTACCCAAGACCAATGTCTATATATGTTGCCACCAAAAAATATGTATTTTTGTGGTGCAATACAGTAGGACCCCCCACACACACACACACACACATCCACTGAGGACTGGTTCCAAGCCCCATCCATAGATACTGAAAACCACAGATAATAGTATTCATAGCCCAATCTCTGGCTCCCTCTAGTGGCTGATTCTGGTAATTCATGTGGAAATAGGTTTTTATGGATACTGATCCTGCGGATATGGGGGTCCTACTGTATACCACATAAGACAGACTTCCAAACCTATCACCTCTGAGCATTATTTACTAGTAAAATTGCCTTTATACACACCCCTGACATGAAGACGGAAGTCACAACATCCTCGGGCAACAGCTACGAAACTCAGAGGTCCCTGTCCTGCCACTGGTCCAAACTAAGAATAGACCCATTGAGTCAACTGAACAGTATGTTAATACTTAAGTAAATCACACTGATTCTATGAGTCTCCACTAGAGATGGGGGTATTCGTATACAAATATCCCCGCACAGGTGGAAATAACAAGGGTCCGGCCCATTAGGGCCAGACTGTCCACTCACGATTTCGCCACAGCTGCCGGCTCTGTAGAGGCTTCCTATCACATTCTCCGCATTGGATTAGCCACTCTCTGACCTAGCAGAGAGGCTTGTCATCCTGCCTACTACCAGGACTGGGTAATCGATTGCGGGCAACGGCGTGATAGGAAGGTCCAACGAGCTCATGTCAGCGGCAAAATCGTGAGTGGGCCCTTGTTATTTCCACCTGTGCAGGGATATTCATATTCGTATACAAATACGAATACCCCCATCTCTAATCTACACTAGCTGGGTCCGTCAACATGATACTGGCCATATAGAGGTCAGTACTGTATAGAGAAAAGTAACAGATGATACGATGAAAAGCCTTGCAAGTTAGTCTATAAGGTGACACAAGATTTCTTGGAAGCTTCTGTTGTTAATGCAGCCTCCACCCTATAAAATTTTAGACAGATGACAGTGCTTACAGATGCCACTTGCATCACTCTGAACATTTTTTTTCAAATACTTACACCCACAGTCTAAGGCCTGTTATCTCAGAGGGTTACTTTTTAATCACCCGGAAGAGTTATTATCATTCCATATTTTTAAAGTAAAATCAGGTCATGATTGGAGAGGTAGGACTGTTACAAAGGAGCAAATTACTTAGCATGGTTTTTTTTAACCTTTTAATAGAAACAAACACCACCATTCAATATGAAGGGTTGAAGCTTTTAAAAAACAAACCCTTTGTTTGCTGCAGAAGCACTCAGGACGCTATACTTATTTCCTATTGTTTAAAAAAAACTTAGCATTAGAAAGCTGGAAAAATTTAGTTTTTTTTAAAATTTAAATGTTATTTTGCTACCCTCTGCCAGGTGACACAAAATCATGATGTTTGTGTTTTGGATCCCTTGCTTCTCCAGTATTTAAGAGATAATGGACTCAAGAAATTCCAAGTGCAACTTTAAAAAAAATCCACAATTCACAAGGACCAGTTTGGGATCTTGCTAAATAAAGTCTCTAAAATTCAAAATGCAAAATGTTTTGCATTGTATTTCCATGTTCAGTCATGCCCAGTGACCCCCACCTGCTTCGGAAAGCCTTTGATTTCCAGAAAAATGTGCTGGCCTATTCCAGTCGCGGGGGAGGGGGAGCAGTTTGAAAAGAACAGCAAGTGTGAGTTTTTACCTAGCTCAAGTACTCCACTGAAAAAGTGAGAAAGAAATTTCAACAATGAATGAGAAAGAAAACTAGTTTTAATGTCCTAACCTGTACATGCTTTGCCTAATGTTTGCTTATGACTGCTGGTTTGCACCCTGAAAAAGGTCTAAATGGTTTGGTACCACCATTGTCTCTAAAAGACTTTTTATGAAGTGTGCTGCTTATATATCGCCCCAAAGGACTTAAAACTCACTCTGGGAGCTTTACAATTTACAATGTAGGCTACACAATGCCCTCCCCACCCTCAGGACTCAATTGATCAATCAACCTTGGAAGGATGGAAGGTTGAGTCTACCTCAAGCCAGATACCTGTGCCCAAGACAGAACTCAGGTCATGAGCACAGTCTTGACTGCCGTACTGCAGTTTATCCGCTGCGCCAGAAAGCTCCAGTATACCTCTGTTAGTCCACTCTCTGGCTCACCATGAGGGTGGTGAGTACTGTGGAGATGTTTTTGTCAGTGGAATTCCCACACTGTTGGAAATCTCTCTCCAAAGATAAATGTATGGCCTCATGCTGGCTACACAATAACACTGACACATTTACTTCAGTCTGCATTTGGCTCTTTACATATGCATACATTTCCACGACAGCTAGGCTTTTAATTTCTGTAGTCCTTGCAATCCTTACTTGGAGAGTAGTGTGTCTTAAAATGCCAGTTCGAACACTTTCCAAACATAAATAATGTTCTAATAAGCTTTCCTTCCTCACACATATGCTCTTAGCTTACAACTGCTATTTTGTGCCCTACAAAGACATTCATTGTGTTTCCGTCCTATACTACTGTTAAGAGTTTTAATGGCCTGGAAGTGTACAAAGTATCCGGTCTCTGCATGTTTTTAATTTTAGTCTGCTAAGTGAGCTCAGAAAAACGGGAACTCTGCTCAAGAATCCCAGGGGACACACGTGGGGGCTTTGCTTGGGCTCGAGTGAACTTCTAACTTCTAGCAGTGGACGAAACCAGGATGTGAGGCCGGCTTGCCCAAGAAGAGCTCAACGGAATCCCTTTTTCGGCTTGCATAACCCTGGACAGAAACCATGCCTCTCGCTCTGGCCTGACACATATGTGCCGAATGCTTTCCCCGATTAATCCCCAGGAGATGACCCCCTTGGCCTCACAATCTGGTAAGGAGAGGTGCAGGATAAGAGGATGCCCGTTGGGTGCAGGCGGTGGGCGGGCGGGGGCTGGCTCTTGACAGAACAATCGGGTTGGGCTGACTTTGCTGCCCCAGCTGCTGAGCGAGGGGGACAGGTGGCCCTTTGTTAGCTCTTCCCAGGGAAAAGGCTGTTGCTCCCTCCCTCGGGCTCCTTCTGATGGCCAGGGCTGCCTTTCTGCCAGGGAACCAGAGGCTGGAAAGGCCTGCATTCCGGCAGGAGAAGGAAGGAGAGGTCCTCCTCCTGGAGGAGAGCCCTTTCAGGGGACACCCAAGGCAGGCTCCCACACATACATGCGCCTTCCCCACCCACTCCGCCCAACCCTTGCGAAGGCCGAAAGAATCAAAACAGAAAAAGCATCAGGCGAAAGGGAGGAAGCGTCCCTGGGTGAACCCCTCGGCGGCGGCGGCTTCTTCTTCCTCTCCTTACCCTTCATGGCAAGGACCGCGTGGCCAGGTGGGAAGCTCTTGCCCAGAGGAGTCTCTCTTCCCCCCCCCAGGCACAGCTGACCCCCTCCTGAAAGAAGGAATGGGAACCGGGGATGGGGGGGGAAGGGAGGGGGGGGTCCTCGCAGGCTCTTTCTCTCACACGGGCACAAAGACACGCACCCCGGCAAGGCTTTGTTTGCCTTGCTGCTCCACAGGCTTCCGCACCCGCACCCCCAACGGATCAGGCAGGGAAACAAAACACACACACACACACACACACACACACACACAAAACACGGGGGGGGGGGCC